ATAAAAGCTTAATAAAAAATATTTGCAACTTTTCTAATGACATTATTCAATCCAAGCGGCCATTTTCAATCAATGGTAATGGTTGGGTACTCACGTAGAAGGCCAGCTCGACCTTGTGCGTGGCGGTGGCCTTGGGCTTGCAGGTCTCCTCGGAGGAGCGGCAGCAGCCCGTGGAGTCGGTGCAGCGGTGCAGGATGGTGCAGTGCGGCACGTACTCCTTGGAGGGGTCCGGGTACTGCTGCTTCACGTTCACCACCACGGGCTTGGGCACCTTGCAGGTGCCGTCCGTCACCATCATGCGGATCATGTGGTCGCGCGCCAGCTTCGCCATCCGCGCTGCGGAGCAAAAGTAAGGACGAGTCCATCACACACAAAACACACACAAAAAATTAAAAAGTTTGGCGCGTCGCACGCCATTCCAAACGACCCGCGCGAGAGAAAGAAAAGGGGGGAGAGGGGGGTGGTGGTGCGCGGTAAGGGAAGAAAGAAGAATGTTCCTCTCCAGGTCTTCATCTGTCAGGACTCTGACAACATGTGTTCTTCTTGCGCTCGTTTTTCCCCTCTGCCGCCGTTCCCTCCAGTAATTATCCATTGGTTGCGTTCCGCGATAGCAGAGCTGGCATGCCTTTGCCTCCGACCCGATGGCGGCGGCGGCGCTGCCAGCTGAGGGTTGGAGCGGCGCGGCGGGCGGGGCGCCCGGGAGGTAGGCACCCGCGAGACACGCGGCCGCGGCGGGCTGCCTACCCTCGCCGCCGACGGGCGCTACCCGGCCCGGGCCCGAAGCGAAGCGCACGGCGGGGACGCACTTTTCGCTCAGGCTGTACAACAGCCCGTCTGCCGGTTCGCCCGCACCGCCGGCCGCCGGCCAGACCCGCCATAAGGAATCGACCAAGGCGCCGCCGAAACCAATTTGGCGCGGCTGCATCTAATTGCATATTGCTCTCCGAACAATGTACCGTCCGTTCCGAGCAGAGCCGAGCGGGGCGGCTGGCGCCCGGCGTCGGGATCGCCCGTCTACTCTCATCTCGACTGCGAGGATATCTAAAGAAATGAGAACGATACATCGGAAAGTCGAATAAACAGAAAACCACTTTCTTCTTCTTTTTTTCCGCGATAATATGCACTTTGATTTTGGTACATGGGAGCTTGATTTTGATATCCTTTTTTGTGAAGTAAACGTCAGGGGAGGTGTTACAAGTGTTCACTCTGGCCTAACGTTTCTTTTGGACGCCGTAATCGCTGGCCGATTACCTCCTCTGCAGCGCCGCGCCGTGCAACAACGCGTGCAGCCCGGAGCCTCGGAGCAACGGCCGGGCGGGGCGGGGCGGGGAGCAGCGGCGGCAGCGTTACGTAACGGCTATAAGGTCAGTGTCAAGGCTGGGATCGAGGAACGGGAGGCTGCAGGGGGAGAGTTGGCGGAAAGGGAGTGGGGGGACAGAAACCGAGATCCTAGCACTGTAGAACTACATTATTGCAGTAGACTTCGAAGTTAAAGGCTTAATTCTTCAAGGTTTTGGTGATTTAATGAAGCCAGTCACCTTCTTCAATACCAAATTTACAGGGATATTTTTCAAAATGCGGCAGAAAATTGCTCTGATTTGTCTGCCCATACCGGACTTTTCCTCTCACGAATCGGCATCGAGGAGGTGCCATACGGGAGGCGTGCGATCGACTGCAGCAGCGGTACCAACCGAGCCGCTCGGCGCGCCGCTAAGTGGTTGGCAAGCGTGGTCAGAAATACTTTCAATTACACGCCACGTGGGCCCGCTGGGTTGCGTGGGGCGCCCGTGGGGCGGGCCTCTGCGTGCGGCCGCATCACGCCTGCACGCTCGCTTGCACACGCATGCGCACGCTTGCGCACGCGCCGCGCTTGTCAACTCGACTGTGAACAACGGGTCGCCTTGCGAAGGGGAGGAGGGAGACAGACGAGCAAGGCCTTGCGGCAGCTATATGCCTCCCTCTCGACCGCTAACAACTATAAGCCAAACAAAAAATATATCCGATTTGGGACAAAAATAGAAATGTGTTTGCCTTTAGTCAACATTGTCTCCTTGCAAATTTATCTGATCTGCCCGGTACTCGCTCGACCCACAGCTCGCCACTGTTCCTTTTTATTTAAAAGATTTGCCCTTTCATTCTCCTTACTTCCGATATCGGCGATACAGTGACAGTACGTTACTGCCGGCACTGCCGCCCGCCCGTGGCCTGCTTGGCATTGGCTTCAGGCCAGAGTAGAGAAAAAACGAACAAAGCAAAGAGAGAAAAAAGAGAAAAAAAATAAAAAGCCTTTTCCAGCTTGATGCGCGAGCCCCACCCCTTTTGCGCCGTGTCCGGGCGACTGAATGGCTCACCTCTCCTCTTAATCGGAGGCGTCACACCCGTCACACCAAACGGTGTCGTCCCGCGGCATTTAAATTCTCGCGCCTTGGCGAATTTAAATGTGGCGCCGAGCGGCGAGCCGCCGGCCTGTCCTCCAACGCGCGCGTGAACTGAAAGAGTAACGCGCGACATTCCGCGAACTGTCGGCGCGGGGCCGGACCCGCGGTCGTTCCGGAGACGGCACCGCCCTACTATATTCCCACGCGGTGAAACTGAATCATCAATTTTCGTCTTGATTTCATTCCAAGGATCCACCCAAAGCACCCCCACCCCTCTCCACTCCTCTTTCATATTGCTTCCGACGATACGGCCGCGTGACGCGAACCGAGTGTGGCGTATGCAAATCAACTCGCCAATATGAATGAACTCGCCAACATGAATGAATGAACGGCTCGCGTTGGCGCCGCGGCGCGGGCGGCCGCGGGGCGGCTGCGGTGGGTCGTGGACTAGACCGGGAAGAAGGGGACGGAAAAACTTTCAGCATGTTCCGTTTGAGCTTTCCTCATGGTTTACAACAAATTTTGTATTCACGGTTTACAGAATATATGTTGTAAATTTACGGCAGCCCACCTTTTCTCGTCAATTAATTCCAAGTCAATGCTTGAAATTTTACGATTTTAAGTTGAAATTTATATCAACATACCGTACGTCATGGAAAATTTTCTCGTAGCCCTTACAAGAATTTCTAACAGTGTTCCTTCAGACGGAAAATGACGAGTAGGAAAATGCACAGAGCAAGGAGGAGTGTGGCAAGTGACACATACCGGCGGTCTGGGCCTGCGGCGACGGCCCGTGGCGTCGGGTCTGGGCCAGACGCTCGGGGGTGCTGTAGGCGTTCCACTTCTGTTCGCTGTACGAGTACGAGGGTGGAGCGTCGCTCAGGGTCTGCAACACACACAAACAGTTTACGGTATAAGTTTAGGCCAGTTTAGGCGCAGTCATGGCATTTCCAGGAGCAAAGAGGATAAAGGTCGATAAGCAAATTAATCCAGGAAATCATATTTCATCCGCGGGCCCCGGTTTCCTGGCAGTCTCAGTCAGTCCGGGCCAGGTTGGGTTCCAGTTCGCGGCTCTGAGTCACGCCGGCGCATACTGGGCGGCCACACCAGAGGGTATTCCCCGGCAGAAAGGGGAAGCACCCGGCGGGGGCCACACCGGTCCGCCGCCTTCTCTGTCCCTCAGGCAAACCAGCATTTCCTGGTCAAAAGGAGGAAAGGCAGGAGGCGGAGGGTGGAAGCCGGGTTTCAAAATATAATCGAACACGAAGTACCGCCTCACTTTGCAGCGCCAGTGGAGGGTGTGGTAGCTAATTCATACAAATGATTCAATTCTGGTGTACATTTGCAATTCAATCAGGACAACAATCGATTCCATGTGTAAGCTTACGTGGAAAATTCGCGGTCGGCGCTGCCGAGAAATTTATTGGCAAAGGTTTTATACCGCATAGCGAGGAGAGCTATGAGCAGAACCATGATTCACACGGGTCGAGGAGAACTGAACGCGGGAAGCGCGAGATAACTCAAATGCGGTCCATTTTCGCCTCGGATTCGCTCCTATCCGTTGAACAGATCTGATCCCTGCAGGCTGCAGCA